AAAAACTATCTCTAAATATGATCAGTGGAGCAATTCAGTCATTTATGCATATTTCTACCACACCCACATTCAATTTTCTTCAATTCCTATAAAAAGTACAAAACATCTACCTCTTAATTCAACAAATATCACATTAAAGGTCTCCTTCAAAGGGTAATTTGTGAAAATACTGACTGACTTTGAAGCACTGCCATGAAATATTATTGAATCCAAGAATACTTTTATTTATCTATGATCACTAACAATTTTCAGGAACCTTGATGCCTTACAAAAAATAATTTGTTTCCACTTAGAAAAGAGTGAAAACAGGACTATAGATTATCCATCTAGTTGCTCTAGAAATCTGCCTCAGCTTTTATGGTAACAAAATCAGTATCCCCAGAGGTGGGGCCCAGGGTATCTCTATTTTTAATAAGTTCCCTTGATGATTCTGAAGCATAGAGGTTTCAGAACACTGTTCTAGAGCAATGGCATATCAAAATTTGAGAACAAATGACACAGGAAACACATGGAGTGCCTGCTATAAAGACAATACAAATTTTCCTCTATTACACCATTTACTCCCATCTCCTAAACATACTAAATGAGAATTTCTAAGGGGATGACGTTTGGAATCAACATCTGTAACAAGATTCCATAGGATCCTACGATCCTATGATGTACACCATACTTTGAGACTGAGGCTTCAGAATAAAACTCAAGCCCCTTAGTGAGATACAAAGTCCTTGCCTGCTTCCTCCACCCTCGTCCATCATTTCCCATCTTATTCTCAGGAACTCAATTTCCTTAATACCCCAGGTTATCTCATCCCATTTCTTTGTGCTAATACTAGAAAGAAGCCTCGGGGCTGAGGCTATACAAGGTAAGAATGATAAAAGAATAACACTGACAGTTCTGCAGCTCAGCCCGAGAAGCTGTGACCAGTTTTAGAACACTAATAAGCCTCTGGAAAAACTATAGTCTGTAGAAAAAAACCTATCTGCCTGAGATGTGGCAGAGTCAAAAGAAAAATGATACCAGTATCCTATCATTCCCCTGGTCTGGAAACCTGATCTCACTCTTCCTTCTTCTGTGTGGAGAATTATCATTATTAAAATTTCAATCCACTCATCATTACCTCTGAGAGATCTTCCCTAAGCCTCCAAACTTTCACCACTATTGCATACACCACTAGGTACCCTTCAATAGCCACTTATTTTTTCTTGTATATTAAGGTACCCAAACTTGTTAGCTTAACACATAGCCACAGTTTTGCTGAACCATCATTGAAATAAATCACATTACCTTTTTATGTGCAATATTCTTGGTACAAACAAAGCCATTGACAACCACAGAATCAAACTTCTTTCCACCTGGGATCTAATAGAACAAGAAAGAAAATAAAATTCAATAATACATCCCTGAAATCCAGTAAAACGAATGCTATTATTTCTTTCCCTTTTTTTTAACTATTATGTAACCAAATAGGACAAAAATTTCCAGAATATAGTCCTTCCTTTCAACCAATGATTAATGGCATCTCAGTATGAAGCCTGTTTTCCCATTCCCTAATCTCTAATGTACTATACCTGGTACTCTAAAATACTGTCTAAACAAACTGGTACCATGTGGTAGTTAAAACCACTATTGTTTAGGGTCAATATCATAAGCAAAAATACAGACAAGACTCTATTACTATCTAAATCAGTGGTTCTAAACCTGTGGGTCATGATCCCTTTGGAAATCAAATGACCCTTTCACAGGGGTCACCTAAATACAACCTGCATATCAGATATTTAGATTACAATTCATAACAGTAGCAAAATTACAGTTATGAAGTAGCAACAAAAATAATTTTATGGTTGGGGGTCACCACAACATGAGTAACTAACTGTATTAAAGGGTCACAGCATTAGGAAGGTTGAGAACCACTAATAAATGAAGCAACTAACCACTGCTTTTCCTCAAAACGGTGATAATAATTCATGAGAATAGACGGATGTGTCAAGAAAGAGGAAGCAAGAAATGAAGAAACTATAATTGTTTGAGTTCCCAACTCATCTTCTCTCCAACCCACCCATCCATTTCACCTCCCACATCCTATGTGTGGCTTCCGTGACTCCTAACTGTACCACTAATGGAGTAGATGGCAAAATTTCCCACTCCTCACCTAGACCCCTGAAGGTAATGACTCTTTTTGATTACCATTAAGAGAAAAGTCATCATAGTTTCGCCTCACCAGTTCCTAGAATTAGAAAAGCATTAGCAGAGCTCACTTTTTTAATGTGGACAAACTGACGAATATCCATGTCATCATCCTGGTTCTTGACATCAGGCCGGACTGTCTGAACTACCTGGCAGACCAGTGACACAATAATGTCCCTCCAAGATGGTGACAATGAGTCATTATGGAGCAACTGCTGGAGTAGTGCCATCATGTGATTATGATTAGCTGAACTACAAAAATATTACAAGAAAGAAGTTTGCATAGTTCATACTTTCAGAGAAAATAATTCTGAACAAGCAGTCTCTAGAGAAATAAACATTTTAATTATAGTTCTGCAGAGAACAACAGCAGTCTGTAGAGAAATAAACATTTCAATTATGGTTCATAGATAAGATATTGTAGGTCAATTTTATTCTTTCAGTATACCTTCCAGCACCTTTAATGATTCTGCACATAAGTGAAATCTGAGAATATCTTCAACTAAGATCTCCCTTTTAATAAAATGGGGACAGACAAGCACAGTTCTTTGTCCTATAAGAAATTCATCAGACATCAGAACAAGCTTTATTTTCTAAGTAAACTTAGTATTTTTACTTATTTATTTTATTTATTTTTTATTTTTTTTGGAGATAGTTTTACTTTGTTGCCCCTGGTAGAGTACTGTGGCATTATAGCTCACAGCAGCCTCATACTCCCAAGTAGCTGGGACTACAGACATCTGCCACAATGCCCAGCTATTTTTAGAGATGGGGTCTCACTCTAGTTCAGGCTGGTCTCCAACTCCTGAGCCAGGTGATCTGCCCACCTAGGCCTCTCAGAGTGCTAGGATTATAGGCATGAGCCCCCAGGCCTGGCCTCTGTAAACTTAGTATTTTTGACTTTACAAGGAAGAGGGACAACATGTATGCCCATCAAGTGACTGAAAATTAAAATTAAAAAGCTCACTCCCTTACAGCAACCTCTCCATGGCTTGCTTCTCCCCATTCTCTTCCCTCAGGAGCTCCAGGTTGTTATGATGCCAGCCCAAAGGTGTGAAAGGCAGCTCTTTGGACTTTTCCTCTACCCGACGATTAAATAAGGATTCTAAATAAGATAAAAAATGAAAAGTTATTATTTCATTGTCATTTTTTATGTCATTTACTAGTATATTAAGAAATTACCAATTTCTCTTTTTAAATTTTTTTTAGCTGGTTAATACAAGTTACTATTTTAAAAACGCAACGGCATGTAACAAGTACATAAATAAAACACAAAACAATACAGAAATGTAAACATACATAAATACATGAAAAATACCTAATTTGAAAAACTAAGAACAGCAATAATTAGCAATGCCCAAAATCAGAGACAGAACTGTGAAAAGCAAATTTACATATGTAACTAGCACTTTCAAGCCAATAATTATAAACACAGCTAATGAAAAGCAAATAAAGTGAAATTTTTACATTGTCCTTTTACTTATTTGGGAATACTAGAAAAGCAGGGTGTTAATTTTCCCTGTAAATCACAAACTGAAAACTGCATGCAACAGAAATCTGAATGCCAGCAGAACATGTGATATGTGGGTGCTGACCTTCCAGGAGAGAAGCTCAGCTCAGATATCCCAAAACAGCAGACGACAGTATACAAAGTCTACTCAAGACAATCCTTAATAGTGCTTCTATTTCAAAACTGGCACAGAGACATTTTACCAAAATTTTAACAGCACAGACTCAAAATTAAACTACAAATATTAACATGTTAAATAGCAATTTATATAAAATTTTGTAAAATTTTTAAATTTTTTAAAAGGGTAAAAAATGGATCAAGACAAAAAATTAATAATAAATATTCTGCAAAAAGATGCTCACTAAGTGATTGTTGAATGTGACTGAATAAATGGAAAGAGGTGGGGAAAGCTTACCAAAATTCTCTAACCCTTCCCCTTATAAACCAAACCAAACTATATATATATATATATATATTTCACCAGATAATCCAGCAGACAACACAGTAAAGTATGTGGTCCATGAATGACACATGAGGTTTAAGAACTGTGTGTTTCAATTACATAAACGCCCAGTCTATAAACTTCTAGTTGAACCAGATACTTGGAGGTGAATTTGGAAGCACTGCCAGTCAGAAGATCAACTGTATGTGGCCTCCTTTGTACCAACTTGCCCTACCTTCCTTTGTCTGAAACCCTGAGCACCAAGAAGACACTGGGAAGGGAATTTTTCTTCCATTATCAGAGGCCTATGCTGGGGACTACTGTGGCCCAACTAGTAATGGCTTTACTTCACAGAAGTTAAGTAGAGAAGGAGTGAGAAAACTCTTACATTCTTCCATACTCCTTTTCTCCCAAAGAAATTGATCAGCAGAGTTGGTTCTTTTCCCCCTTCTGCCTAACCCTCTTACCACCTCCACAGGACAAGCAGCATCCTTAATTGATGAGATGTTTGTGGGCTTTTTGACAAATTCGACAACCCTTAATGATATGTATATCAATACTCTGTATTACATTTGCAATATAGGAAAGTATAAGCTATGTATGCCTTTAAAAGTATAAGATTCAAATTCTACTTAAAAGTTTTCTTGTTTTTTGTTTTTGAAACAGTGTCTGACTCAGTTGCCCAGGCTAGAGTATAGTGTCATCTTAGTTCACTACAACCTCAAATGCCTGGTGATCAAGCGATCTTCTTGCCTTAATCTCCTAAGCAGCTAGGACACAGGCCATGTGCCACCATGCCTATCTAATGAAATTCTACTTATAAGTTTTTATACAATTAATTTTCAGCTAAGAGACCACCTCTCAAACCAAGTCCAAGTTTATATTCTTGGTTTTCAACATTTTCAAAGTCACAATACATATTAAACACTGTGTTCCCACAAGACTGATATAACCATACATTTTCAGCACCTTCTTTATACCAATCCATGTGCTAGGTCCTAAGTATATCCTCACAAAAAAAGACACCATCCCATATATGGATGTTTATAAAATTACCTTTGATGAAGGCGTCACTAATTGAGAGCTGTTGTCCTCCAGTGTCAGAAATCAAATACTCTGCATACCAGGGAGAGAAGAGAGGAGGAAGGAAAGGACAAACAAATGACTACAACATGCCAGCGTAATTATACGGAACACACCCCCACACAAAGTATTACTCATACTAAACCTACCACCGTCCTGTATATTCAAGAAAGTTTCAGGCTAAAATGCCTCTTTAAACTTGTTCTGCACACTTCACACTAAACTTAGTAGAACTGTATTAGTATCTTAATTCGACGTCAGATAATCTTTAACAAATCATTTTTCCCTTATTAAAAACAAAACAGTTTATGAAAATTGAATCAGTAATTTATATGACAACCATAAAAGGTTACCCTATATTTCTCCTGTATAATACTTTTGTCTATATAAAAGGTACTCACAAATAGAGAACTCACCTGATAAAACAACCTAAGGGATTTTTTAAAATTTCAGAATACGAGCTATAAAACAAATTAATACAAAAGCAACACTGATAGGTAATAAAGATATAACTCATCTGAGTTTTTATTATTTCTTAATAAGTATTTTTGTTTTTCAAAAATTTTTGGCAGATAATAACTGCTGAACACACAGAGAATGCTTTTAAAATATTAAGTATTTCTCTTACGAGTGAAACTCACTCTTTACTTCCCCATCAACTTTTCTCTAGATCTGTGATCAAGCATAGCTCACATAAGGTTCTTTCCACTATGCAAATTAAAACCTACTGCATTTTAACTTCTTTAAGGTAAAGGCTCTCACCAAAATTTTTTCCAAGTTCATTTATAAACAAAAGGGCTTTAAAAGTCAGTAAGTTTATAAGCCAATATGCTTATCCTTTCAGCCAAAAAAAGGAGAAAATATTTTACTCAGAAAATTCAAGTACACCATGCCAAACATAATAAAATCAAGTAGGAGCAAGAGAATAAGATAGATATTATACTTTATTTCTACACTTCCTTCACAGAAATGAATAATGCCAAATTCTGTTAAACTAATGTATTGTTCTTTGTAAGCCTTACTTCTCACACTGAAATTTAAATATACATATACACGAGATTCGAGACATGATGAATTTCCCTCCCTCCTTTTTTATTTTTTTTAGACAGACTCTTAAGCTGTCACCCTGGGTAGAGTGTCATGGCATCACAGCTCACAGCAACCTCCAACTCTTGGCTCAAGGGATCCTCTTGCCTTAGTTTTTCTATTTTTAGTGTAAACAGGGTCTCGCTTTTGCTCAGGCTGGTCTCCAAACTTGTGAATTCAAGCTATCCACCCACCTCAGCCTCCCAGAGTGCTAGGACACAGGCGTGGGCCACCACACCCAACTCCCCATTTTATAAAGAAAAAAAAAAATTGGGGGGAGGGGGCCCAGGTTTAAACCTGCCACCTCCAGTATATGGGGCCAGCACCCTACTCCTTTGAGCCACAGGCACCGCCCTTAAGAAAAAATTTTTTACATACACAAAGTGCTATGTACTATCCACCCAGATTCACCAATTGTTAAAGATCTGCCATGTATATGTGTGCTTTTTTCCCTGACCACCTGAAGTTTTATCTATCATGATGCTTTACCACTGATAAGTCAGCATGGCTCTCTTGTAAGCACATTCTTTATAGCTATAAAACTAAATGCATACTTGAGAAAACTGACAATGTCCTAACGTCACAGAATCAGTCCATATCCAAATTTATCCAACTGTCCCAAAAATGTCTGTAAAAGGTGATCTTTCTTCCTCAAACATGGATCCAAAAAAGTTCATAGATGACATTTGTTTATTGTGTCTCTTCATTATCTTTTAATCTAGAACAGATAGATGCTCTGCCTATTTCTCTTTTCATGATAATCAATTTTGAAAGAGCCAGGCCAAACGTCCTGTGAGATATCCCACATTCTGGATATGACTGTTTTCTCATGGTGTTTAACTTCCTCCTTTATTCTGTGTTTTCCTACACACAGAAAATTAGAGCTAGAGGCTTGTGGAAGCCAAGATTTTTACTTTCTTTTGTAGGTTCTACTTGCTAACTTTCCAAGAATAGCTCAGAATCCTGCTTGCAACACATAATAAATTTTAACTATTCAACTCTCCAAAACCAATAGTGAAAAATTAATCAAACCAGAAAATCACATCATCTCAGATTCACGAACTTCTAAAAATAAGAGGTTTTCTTACATAAAATAAAAAGCATGAGTAGCTTTATTTAAAGTACAGATACTCAATCTATTTTATGAAACCAAATTTTCCCAGTCTTAAATCATAGAGGACAATCAAGTGAAAAACATTCCCCTTTTTAGTTATTTAAAGAAATGAAAACCAGGCTCGGCGCCCGTCACACAGTGGTTACAGCACCAGCCACACGCGTGGAGGCTGGCGGGTTCCAACCTGACCCCAGCCAGCTAAAACAACGACCACTGCAACAAAAAATAGCCAGTGTTGTGGCAGGTGCCTTGTAGTCCCAGCTACTTGGGAAGGTGAGGCAAGAGAATCACTTAAGCCCAAGAGTTTGAAGTTGCTGTGAGCTGTGACGCCATATACTCTACTGAGGGTGATATAGTGAGACTCTGTCTCAGAAAAAAAAAATTAAAAAATAAAAAAGAAATGAAAACCAGAGGCAGAAGAATTTTATTATTCTTTTACTCTGGCAATCTTTACTTTCAGGTAATCAGTAGTCATCCTAACTATACAGGGCAAAATATTTTATTTTATTTCAACTTTACATAAAAATGAAAAATGATAATTCTTGTTAGTATGCTAATAAAAAAAGTGGGAAAGTCAGGTACATTTATTAAGGGAATTAATAAAGTCATCAAATTATAGGCTTTCAAGGTTGCCTAAGTGGTCAATTAAATAATTACCTTCTCTCTAATGCTAGAACCACTTCTATAATCTTCTTACTGAGTAGGCTAAAGGGTTCCTCATACTTGTTAGAATTTTTTTAATTCTAGATTTTTCATTTCACAGATTTAGCATTAAAAGGAAACTTAGAAGTCTCCAAGTCTACCTAAGCTGTCATTCAACATAGGCATCTGTCCTCAATAACCCTGACTGGTAGACATTCAGACACAACCTGGATACTTCCAGCACACAGTGGCAAATATTCACTACTCTGAACTATTGAAACTAGTTCTCCCTTTAACCACATACAAAATAAGCATAATTTCTTTCAGGTATTCTTCGGATACCTAAAGGCAACATCAAGTATTTTAAACAGTTCAATTCCCCTAGTCAGTTTTAATACAGCATAGTTTTCAGATGTCCCAGAAGCCTGGCAAGCCAGCTCTATTCATAAACCAGAACTGAATACAAAACTTTACAATGGACCCTCATTCTAGACACTATATTGCCACTAATGAAATCTGTCACTGCATTAGAGAGTTGCCACAGCACACTATGGAATTTGCAAGTAACTAAAACTTGGGTCTTCATTATGAGTGGCTTTCTCCAGAGTATTAAGAATAAACGTTTAAGCCTAATTATGTTATTTTATGTATAACTCCATTAATTCATGTTGTCTCAACCTACTGTTGAAAAAAATATTATTAAATTACAATTCTGCTACCCAACATATTAGCCATTCTTTCCAGATTTTAATGATTTGAGGACCTAAAAAGCATTCAAAATGCTAACCAAAAAAGTGTTGACCACCACTGCATATGGACAAATCCCTATAGCTTAACTTTCTGTTATCAAATTATTAATTATCCTCTTAATATTTTCTACAAAAAGCTACAAATCCGTGTGTTATAATGATATTACTAAGCTCTTACATTCACCAAACACACTAGCGTCTTTGTGTGTTTTTCATATAAAAAGTTATAGTGTATAGTACACACCAAGTATAATGGTGGTTGCCAGAAGCTGGAAGGCTGGAGGGAGATGTGATGACTGCAGTTGATAGTGCATTGTGTATTTCAAAATTGCCTAGAATATATATCAAAGGTTCTCACCACAAAGTGATAGGATTTGAAACGATGAATATGTTACTTAGCTTGATTTAGTCATTATGCATTGTACATACATATATCCTAACACTTTATACCTCATAAATACATAAATTATAATTTTCCAATTTATAATTTAAAAAATAAAGCTCATATGTATTCCAATTTGTGCTTTTAAAAAAATAAATATGACCATTGCCTTTACCTCTTTAACATATGTCTTCCATATACAAAACTGTCCTGTTTGTCTGCAAAACTATTGAGGGACCACTAAATGTCTTATTAATATCAACAAAGATAGTATCTGTCACCTTCTCCTGCTCTATCATTCTTGTATCACCATAAAATATATAAACAGGGTTGTATTACAATGTCTTATGCTGGTTAACAAATGTCTGTGCTCAGTAACCACCAATCCCTTTTCTAAAAACCATAGTACATTCAGTTCATTGAGAACGTACAGAATGTACTACAATGTTGCCAGCTTCCAATGTCAAGTCAAGAATTCATCTTTTCAAGAAATGTATTACATGAGATATCTATTGTAGAAATTTATTATAAGTTTGTTTCAGTCATCTGGACTCTCTCCCACACTTCACAGATAACAAACTCTTGCTCCATGATCCCAGATCTAAAGTCTTTCAGTATTCTGGGCATATAATTTGCCTAAACCTGGCAACAAACTTACTTAAAACAACCTGGCATTCTTTATCTCTTCAATACCTTGGACTTTACTTTCCTCTTCACCATATGTTCTTTCTTGATAACATTAGTCTTGACAGAAGGAGCAAAAAACTTCTTTTGGTCATTAGTCTGGATTAATTTGCCTAGTTTTTCTGTCTAACCCAACTTAAATCTTTTCTCAAATATCCTTGGCATTTTCACCAATCTTTAGCACAATATGAACTTCTGCTATCCTGTCACTTTTCTTGAAAGTCTTGGCCCGTTTTTCAGATTCATCCTCCTATCCTCCCATCCTCCTCCCCAAGCTGCTGATCACAACCATCATAAGCAATCTTTTTAAAGGTCTGCGATCAGAGCAGTTCCAGAAGAGTCATGATGTTATCAGAGCGGTTCCAGAAGAGTCATGATGTTATTTTTAAACAGCAGGTACTTCCCCTTTTATTTTCCTTACACTTTGAGGTTGCACCATAAAAATGTCATTATTGGAGCCTCCTGTTCCAGGCCTCTCTTACTGTTCTAAGGTTACAATTCCTCACATAAGTGACTCACTCTGCTCAGGTGGCCTACCCTTTGCTATTATGAATTCAATAATGACAGGTCATTTTCTTCAAGATTTTCAAAAGTTCCTTAACTTTCTAAGATGTGAAATCTTCAGCAAATGAAGACTTCACACTCTGCTTTCAGCAAAATGAAATTGCCAACACATACTTCGAGAGAACAGATATCCTCTGAAATGTGTGCCTCTGACCCACAACTATCAGCTTATATTCAAAAACATCATCTTTTTTCCAAGTGACCACCACACCACCTACAGTTAACGAGTGCCATGTCTATTTCACTGCCCTTCCATACTCACCCAAATGTTTGCTTCCAATGTCTACTTTGAGGAGTCCTACAAAGATGTCTATTTAACTCCCGTTCAATGCTGGGCAAGTCTCCTCTTCATCTACTTTACCACATCCCTCTGTATTTCTTATTTTTAAGATATGCTTTTTCATTACCATAACTTTTTTTTTTTTTGGTAGTTTTTGGCCGGGGACCGGGTTTGAACTCACCACCTCTGGTATTTGGGGCCGGCATCCTACTCCTTGAGCCACAGGCACCACCCTTATCATAACTCTTAAGTACCATCTTACCACATCTTGAGAATGGCTAATGCTGATAATTATGAGATATCTATTGTAGAAATTTATTATAAGTTTATTTCAAATTACTTTTGTATAAATGTTTAAGAACGTCTCTTTTCTGATTATACTTTTAAGCTCAAAATAGAAACTAGGAAAGAATTAGGCAAGCATTGTAAATCTAAGTGAAGAGACAATTCAACTTTAGAGAATAAAATGTTAAAAATTCAAACTCCAGGTGAAATTATGAAATGAAGTGTTTCACATCTTTGTAATAGTCATTTTTCAGTTATCATGATATAATGAAATCCCACAATTATTTATTTACTTGTGTATTTTTTTAATATACTTTTACAAAATATCATTCTGTAAAAATTTTTAACATATATATATTTTTTTTTCTCCCTTTTTGAGACAGAATCTAACTCTATCACCCTGGCTATAGTGTAGTGGCATGATCATAGCTCACTGTAGCCTCCAATTCCTGGGCTCAAGTGATCCTCCTGCCTTAGCCTCCTGAATAGATGAGACTACAGCTGAGTATGACCATGCCTGGCTCATTTTTTAAGTTTTTATTTTTGTAGAGGTAAGGTCTCACTATATTGCCCAGGCTACAGTGCAGCATGATCACAACTTGTTGCAGCCTCCAACTCCTGGCTTCAAATGATCCTCTGGCCTCAACCTCTAAGAGCTAGGATTATAGGCCAAACCCACCTAGGGCTATAAATAACACATTAACTTCTATATGAGTTACATTTAACTTAATTCTAGTCTTCAGCCCAGGACATCAAGAAGCATATAAAACTCACACATCTCTTGATCTAATAAAACAGCATGGTCCCAGGAAAAACTGCTTTTTTCCTAGTGTGTCAGTCAGTCTATTAAAGTGGCTTTTAATTATATACAACAGAGTAAATTTCATCATCCCTTTTTGAAAAACTGCATTTCTTTTTTTATGTGTTGCTATGTTCAATTTTACCAACAGTTTGTATTATTTTCCTTTTTCACCAAATGTCTTTTGAATACAGCCATTATTATTTTTGAAACAGTATACTAAAGCAGCAAATAAGACAGCTAAAAATAAAGAATGAGTTCATTTTATAAATGTAGAATCTACACAATAAGCATTTTAAATTATAGTAGAAAGAGATTTTGAAATGTGTAAACAATTTCCCCCATCTAGTTCAAGCATCTTAACAGGTTTAGTGAAATACTACATTACTGGGTAACAGCAAAGGCAAATAGGCTTTAAATTGTTAAAAAGAAGAAAGAGAAAAGAAGAGAGCAGAACATCCATGTTATAAATGCAAAGAAATGCCACCTTGGAAGTTGCACATTATGGGAAGAACAATCAGATGTTGTTCCTTTTAGGGACTACAAGCTTTAAACTGGGCACGGTGATACTGAGGGAAAAAAACAAGAAATAAAAGGAATCAACCAAAAAAGGTATAAGGAGGAGGTGTGGGGAAAATGAGAAAGGGTGTAACAAAACCCACACCAAATTCCCTCAGCCATATGGGACAGAGGAAGCCAGAAGGACAGGCTGACATGAGATCCTATGGCCCAGCTCTCCAGCCTGCGTTTGGATTCCAGATGGTGACTACCTCCTACCTTTTTGGTCAGCAGGGTGAGGGGGCACATGTGGGTACTTGGAGGGCTTCTTGATATGGAAGTTCACGTTGTCCAGCTCCACGTTCAGGCTGATAGAAGCGGCTGAGTCACTGTCCACTGTGGACTGGAAACTGCTGACTGATGTACGCTTGCTAGGACTGGCAGAATCTTTTAGTGTTGGGGAGGGGAAAGAAATATAGGGAGAGGAGGGGAGTAAAAATGGGTTTTATCAGGGTATTGGAGGAAAGGAGAAAAATTTCTTTTAATATACAAGCCCAATGTGCAATACCAAAATGGATACAGTATTTTCATGTACTTCTGTATAGGCTTAATAAAATGTGAACAAGTTAAATATAAAATCAATTTTTTAAATAAATATATTGGAAGTTCTGCAGAGAAAAAGTCTAATATCATAGTGAAGAGGTGAGAAAGTTGTCTGATGCAATCTTATTAGTTTAGTTATTTTTAAGCTGCTGCAAACTAGTGACTACAGTAAAATCTAGAAATGTCAGTTGCCTAACGAGATGGTTTCTTAAGAAAATACTGTATCTAATCTAGGACAAGACTACCCTCAGATGTTTACATTCAACAGGAGCTATAAATTATAAAACAGAATTGTTTCAACTAAAACAAGACACTCATTTTATCACACACATACAGTAGTGACCCACAAAAACCAAACTGTTAGAAAGTTAAAACTCACTAGCCAAATTATCGTCACCTTCTTCAGCTATCTGTTCTGTGTCGCTGTCATCAAACTTAATGTCTTTAAACCAGGATGGCTCAGAGTGTCCTTCCACAGAGTTCACCGAGTCACTGTCTGGAGAAGGTGTCTCAGAAAATTCTGTACTCTGAAAGGACCAAGACAGGATCCAAGCAATTGACCCTCAATGGCAATCAGGATGGTCATACTACAAATAAACTGAAGCCCCATATTTCTACAAATCTAACAATTAAATAAATATATATATAAATTAATTAAGAAATCCAAGTTACAAAACAACATTATACTGGCAATCCCACTCTTAAAATTATAATTTTCATTACCTAAAAGGCTTAAGTAGTATATCATAAACAAAACACTTCTTTGATAAAGACTTCAGTGTTTCATTTCATCCTTTAGTCCTAAGAGTGAAGATCCCATAGAATTTACTTTAACCCTAGGCCAACTCTAGGACACATGCTGGAAAATAACTTCTTTTTTTTTTTTTTTTTTTTTGTCCTAAGAGTGAAGATCCCATAGAATTTACTTTAACCCTAGGCCAACTCTAGGACACATGCTGGAAAATAACTTCTTTTTTTTTTTTTTTTTTGTCATTTCAAACAAATTTATTTCCTTGTTTCATAAGAAAGAACATACTAAAAACAGTATAGCCACCATACAATCACAATGTGCCAGAAATGAATAAGCATAAGCTGTTTTAAAATCACAGGGCAGGGAATGGGACCATGAACTCTTAAAATTAGGAAATAGAGTCCGACAAAGTTAGAATCCAACGTGGTTCCTACAGGAGGGCAAACAGGATAGGCAGTCCACTCATGATGTTAATTACGACAATGGAATGAAAACATTTTAGTTGAGACTAGATATTTTAATTCGTTTCTTAGTAAACTGAAACAAGATTCACAATTCCTAATAGTTCCATAAATGAACACTAGTGTTTAATGTTTAGATTGTTAAGAAACTTATTTAAAGGCAGAGATAAATTGATTTGGAAAACGGTAGATATATTATCACGAGTGTTTTGAAGGTAATTTGCTATTTCCTTTAAAAATATTTGTAAGGTCATGTTTTAAAATCTTAATTCTTCAAGTTCACTATGTCATAGGTGGTGCTTCAAAAGAAAGTCAAAGTGGCTGGTAAAAGTGAGTGCAGTGGTGTTTGATGTTTACAAATCACTGATCCTAACCAGTTACAGGTTTCTTTGTCCCTTTTCCACTCCCACTGCTTTACTTGACTAGCCTTTATAAACCATCATGCAAACAAATAAAAAATGCAAAGAAAAACAAAAATGATGCTGAAAATTTTCAGGTATTCAGTTAAGTGTAGACTGGAACAGATGGGTGGATGGATAAAGGGCCATAAAACTTTATCCATTAAATGGGATGAGGAAATCATTTCTAGTGGGAGCTAAGGCCTAAAATCTAAAAGGTAATATCCTGATAGTCTAATACTAGCAAATATCTCACTGAAGAAGCTGAAGCAATAAACGATTAATTATTTATATACTTATATGCATAAGAAACCTTAGGCTCACAAAAATATACATGTTTTAAAACGGAAATCTAAGGCACACAAAATACTAAAACAAGTAAATAAATTACCCTGTTTTACGTATTCAAGAAGCAGATATCTGCTTGTACAGGATGATGGTCTATCAATGGACATTTTGTTATTTACAATCCCTTCATATTCCTTTACTTGGTTTAGTCAAAAGTTTGAAACTGACACGTTGCACCATATATATTTTAGATAAGTTACAGCATGCTTTTCCTTAGAGAGCTTGCTGGAATGGAAAATGACTTTTAACAAACCATGCCACACCAAGACTTGGGGTCACTTGTCTTTTCTAACCACTAAGCTTCCAATTTTTGTTCCCAAACATGTAACCATTATACAGTTGACCCTTAAACCACATGAGTTTGAGCTGGCCCAGTCCACTTATATGTAGATACACAGATTTTCTTCTAGCTCTGCTACCCTGACACAGTAAGACCAACCCGTCTTCTTCCTCAGCCTATTCAATGTGAAGATAATAAGGATGAAGACCTTCAGGATGATCCACTTTCATTAAAAGAATAGTAAATATATTGTCTCTTCCTTAAGATTTTCTTAATATTTTCTTTTCTCTAGCTTACTCCATTGTAAGAATACAGTATATAATACATATAACATATAAAATATGAATTAATCAACCATTTATGTCATTCCTAAACCTTTTGGTCAACAGTAGGCTATGAGTTTTGGGGGGGATCAAAATTATACACAGATTTTTCAACTGTTCAAGGGATCAGCAACCCTAACCCCCATGTTGTTAAAAGGTAAACTCTGTGCATATACACAAATGCATGTGTGCATGCACACATACACACATACCTGTACTTTGCCATACATAATGTGCACTTTTTTGCCCAAATTAATGAGGGAGAAATAAGGATGCACATTATATACAGGTGGTATAGCTTAGGAGTTGGGGAGCCCAGTGGGCCCCCTGAGGGCTACTGAACCCTCACACATGGGCCCACCAGGCACACAGGGTTCCAGTCCTGGAGAATCTAGGATCTGATGAAAGTGAGCCAGGGCAGCCTCCACCAAGCACCACAATCAGGGGTGGGGGCGGTGGCAAGGCTGGCCAGATGGCAGCGGCCATGCAGGGCAAGGGCTAAAGCTGAAGGCCTGGCTGCACAGAGGAGACAGGGAGCCCCACACAGCCCCCAGGACGCACTTGGCTACCCATGGACTGAGTGGCCTCAGAAGCTCCAGCCCGTGTGTACCATCTCAGCGACGTGTGTAGCCATCTCAGCAGAGGCCCCAACATGGCAGGGAGGGAAGGGCTTCCAGCAGAAAGGGAAGGGGCAGCCTTTGCTGAACAGGGCTACAGGAGGGTAGTGCTATCTGCACTTACCAGGAGAGTGTTAGCCCTCCCCAGATGTTTCTCCCCTGGCCAAGAGCAGACCACTTTCTCAAGAGGCATTTTTCTGAAAGTTTTAGTGAAAATGTGGGTAGACATTATACATGGGAGCACATTTTACACAGCAAAATATGAGGGGGGATGTATATATACATATTTATAATTTGATATGTATTTTATATATATATACTGTGTATACATATATATGCACACACATATATATAAAATACATGTCAAATTACAAACCAAAACTCAAAGTACGTCTTTTTAAAAAAGTTGACTTTATATTTCCAGTTCCCTTAAGTAAAATATATATAGACAATTTTATCATTTTTATATAATAGTGCTAAACAGTCAAAATCTATTTCAATAGATGATGTTAAGTTTTTCAATCATTTTATTATGTATATTCTCTGTTAGTTCTACAAACTTAGACATAGTAAAACGGAAAACCACTAAAGTTAAATGACAAGTAACTATAATACCACAAAGCCAGGTTTAAGAAAAGTCCTATCAACTGAATAAAATGTTTGATTCTAATAGGTTTTTCATCATTACAACCTACCAAGTAAAAAATGTTTTACCTTTCCTCAAACAACAGGGAAACATGTTTTAAAAAAGTATCTTTGGGCAATAAACTAGAGTACTTCTTATTCCACTGATGAAAGACATGGAAACAAGCCTGCTACATTCTCGTTAGCTGTAACACTGAAAAGTACCTGCAGTGGTCGGTACAGTGCATACTCATCCCTGAAAAGCTGGTCATGATGACTAACACAGTCCAGCCAACGTCCATCAACCATTGCTTGTCCAATTGCTATAGCTTGTGCCCTGAATCAATACCCACAAAAATAAAGTTTTAAAAGTCACTCATAATGCTTTAAATAATTCATAACATAGAATCTCAATTTTTTTTTTCAGTTCTAATCAAAGTTGGAATTTCAAACAATCCTTGGATAGGTAAAGGATAAAAATATGAAAGACTTGAAGCAAATTAAAAGATTCTTCCAGGTAGTGGTAATGGAGAAGAATCTATTGGTAAGGCAGTCTTAACAAAACCTAATTTTAATTACAGGAAGTAGTTACTGAGTACTGAATGCATGCACACCCTTTTAATTACTAAAAAAGTCATGGAGAAAAGCATGACTCCTACCCTCAAGCTTAGTATTAATGAAAAGATAATACTTAATATTACTGAGATAGGTATAAAACGTATATGCACATATACATGAATAGACACTTAATAATACTTTGTATTATATGGTATTTCACAATTTATGAGGCATTTTAGCCATCATTTATTTCATTTCATCCCCAAAGCTTACTTGCAGCACAATATACTTTCCTCCTGTTGGACTAATCTCAAAGAAATTGAATAACAGACTCAAAGCAAGCTGGTCATGGTCAAAAATGAACCCAGGGCTTCACAGCCTAAAGCTGTTTCTTTCTTTACTTGCTGACCCACCTGTTTCTTCCCCAGAGAGGAAGAATAGCTAATCTGAGCTAGTAATAAAAGCCAGGGGATTTGTTAACTTGAAAGGCAACAGAACCTGCTGCTCTCTTTCAGAAATGATTGGTGAGGCAGGGTAGGACCTACTTGGGGAAGATTTTGGACACAATTCTCAACACTTGATTAGAGAACAGCAGCAGGAAAAGCCTTTTACCATACACTCTACATTCTCCAATCAAGAGTTGTGTTTTGGAAATGACTAACATTTCTATATTTAATAAGGTAAATTATGACTGCATTTAACTCCTTGCCTCTATTCTCTACTGGTTAAACCCAGATAGAAGGGTTGAGTAATTTGTGCCTCAAACCATGACATACATGAAACAAAAGCACCATAACCCAAAAAGAAATTTGTTACTCTTACATCTTCAAATACATATCATTCTCAAAAGTCAATTTAAAAATAAAATCAAGACTTCTTTATTAAAATCACAATACCTTGTAGCAATGTGTCCATTTCGGATCAGCCAGTTAACTAACTCCTTTCCTACAATGCAGTTGGGATGTGTTCGCAGCCAGTAGCGGTGATCCTGAAATTCCATTCCACTACTGTGATGGCAGATTTTTTTCCAAAGATCCTTTAACTGAACACTGTCCTACAATGACATGAAGAGTAAATAATTATTCCTGAGAAGGATGGTATCAGATAGGGAGAAGAGGAGAAATCCAAAAGGAAAGGATTTCTTTATAGTAGCTAACTTAAGATGATGTAATATGAATGACACAAACATGAGGAACAGCTTGAATGCACCTCATCTAATTCTAAACTTATTCTCTTAAAAACAACTATTTCAAATACCGTTTTTTAATTTTTGTTTAACTAATCCTGTGACAAAGACAATAGAACCTCTAAAGTTTGACCACCCAAGAGACTTTAATAAATTGGTCAATATGTGGAAGTGGTCAACATAAGGAACTAGGCCTATTGTGCTGATATGTACATGTGGTACACATCCAGCCTATGAAAACTGTATCAACTTAAGAAGGTGGTCATTGTAGGGAGGTGGTCAACTATGGAAGATCACTATACTTCTTTTCTCAATCAATGGCATATATTATCAGTCTCCATTTTTTTTTTTTTTTTGAGACAGAGTCTCACTATGTTACCCTGGGTTAGAGTGCTATGGCATCACAACTCACAGCAACCTCAAACTCTTGGGCTTACACAATTCTCTTGCCTCAGTCTCCCAAGAAGCTGGAACTAAGGTACCCACCACAATGCCCAGTATTTTTTGGTTGCAGTTGTCATTGTTGTTTGGCCGGCCCAGGCTGGATTCGAACCCACCAACTCTGGTATATGTGGCTGGCATCCTAGCCGCTGAGCCACAGACGCTGAGCCATTAGTCTCCTATTATCATTACCTCAGTGGAAAATAGAGGGAACTACTCTTTAGAGATGGGGCAAGGGAAAGGGAGACAATGGTCAAACTAACTTAAAGTAACTGTTCCTAGAGCCTTCACTCCACCAGATTCTCGCCATTCTTACTTATACCAAACCAGAAAGTGGATTTTCCTAAAAGAAGACCTTCAGTGAATTACTCCCTGCTTAGAAAAATTTCCAATGTTGCTTAGCAACTACAGTTCAAATCTGTAACTTGTAAGGACTAAATTCATTGCTCTCTACATTGACCACAGATTCCAACTTCGACTCTCTCCCAGTCAATAAGTCCTACTCTGGTCCATGAAAAATATCATGCCTACTCTCACTCTATACCTTTCCTCACACCTTCAAATAAGCTTCTCTGTTCTCAATGACTATCCAAATCCATTCTACCTTTTAAGGTCCAGTTCAAGTCCTTTGGTTTAAAGCCCATCTTGACTCCCTCACAAGTAATGACCTTTCTGTTTTTTGATTCTAATGTAACTTATGGTGATATTATTCATTTGGTACTCTTTGTCATTATTAAAGTATTACTTCTTTTACCATTAAAAATTGCCCTATTGATATTATTTCTAGTTTCCCCTCACCCTCCAGAGACTGAGTCTCACCATGTTGCCCAGACAGGAGTGCAGCAGCTATTCACATGCTCAATTATAATACTATATATTATATATACATTATATATACTACAGCTCAACTCATGGCCTCAAGCAATCCTCTCGCCTCAGTCTCACAAGTAGCTGGGACTAACTATATGTCACAGCACCTGTCTCCTATTTCTACCTTATAAACTTACAGCCAAAAGCCATTATCTTCCATTTCCTTGAGTCCCTCTTAGGTAAATAATTAAAAACTTAGTATTTTACAAATAGATAAATTCAAGAAGCAACTAATTATCATATGTAAACATATACTATTAACTGTCTGAAAAGTTTCTCATGATATGAGAAACATGTTTCCAAGTTTAAATAGCAATCTGGGACCTAACTAAAAGTTAAGTGCTCTTATTATGTAGACAACTGAACTGTCATCTTACCAGATGAAAGGTATAAAGAAAATATTTATGCAATAGGTACAGAATGGTTAACCTATTTCTCAGGTGATCTTAGTAAGGATCTGCTCTCTTTAATTGATATGCTTGCTTACTATTCATTTATATATTTCTTTTTAAAAAGCATCAGTGAAATAAACAGTCTCTATGATCAAAACGGGAGTTGGGTCAAAGATGCTGGACCAGTACCAGAAGAATTTTGCGTTCGTCCTCAGTGGTCTCTGTTCTAACATATGTTCGGTTAGCCTGGGGACTGACAGATGTCTCATATGAAGGTACCATAGGAGAACCAGATCGATCCAGTGACAAGTTAGTAATGCTGGCTGATCTGGAAATAAAAAGTGAAATCACAGGTATAAATTCATCATCAATAAAGTTACAGAGAAAATTCATTTTTAAACCAATGCTTACTTGCTTCCTTGCTAATGTTGAAAGAATTTCAAAAAGTAGTTATGATGATTATATATGATGTTATCATTGGGGGAAAGTGGGGAAAGGATACTCAGAAATTTTCTGTACTATATTTATAATTCTATGTGAGTCTAAAATTATTTAAAAATAAGTTTAAAATAAATTAAGAAAAAAATTACAGGAAATCAATTATATAGTTCAGATATCCGTAATATTTCAATGGAACTAGATACAAAGTCTTCTTGTTAAATTGCTACAGATCAGTTGTTTGTTTTTTTGTCAAATATAAAAATGACAACTAAATTATCTTGCACATTAGGGTCAGGGAACTATGGCCTACAAGCTAAATCCACCTAGTCTCATGTTTTTGTACAGTCCATAAATTAAGAATGGTCTAATAGGAAACACTAATTTTGAACCCATCAAGCAAAACGTTATGACCCCCAAAAGAATTCCTTTCTTCTTGCCTCCCAAATGGGGGAAAGAAAAAAAACAACACCAGCCCCCTCCAGCCATCCTGTCTCACCTACGGGAGACAGAAACTGAGAAGCACTGAACAAGTTCCCAGGCCAGGGGCAAAAGCTCACCAGCTCACCATGAGACTTAATCACAGAAGTATCAAGCACTGCACCTCCCTGTGCATCGTGTCACTAACTTACTAAAGACCTGTTCAGGACAGTCCCTTTTACCAAGTACATCATGTCACCTTTCAAGAAAGAATTACAAGACATACTCAAAAAAGCAAAAAACACAATATGAAGACATTGAACAGGGATCAAAAACAGTCAGAAGTGGCATGAATGTTGGAATTATTAGCGCAGGAAATTTAAGACTCTAAGATAAATATGCTAAGGGTGTTAAGGAGACAACATGCAAGACCAAACAGATAATGGAAGCACAGAGATGGATATTTTAAGGAAAAATCATAAAGGAAATGCAAGAAGTCGAAAACACTATAACAGAAAGGAAGCATGCATTCACAGGCTCATTAGTAAACTAGACAGGACTGAGGAAAGAATCTTTGAACTTGAGGAAACCGCAACAGAAAATCCCAAAATTTAAAGAAAAAAAAAAAAGACTTAAAAAACAAAACAGAATATGTAACAACTGTGGGAAAACTACAAAGGACAATATTCATATAATGGAAATACCAGAAAAAGTAGAAAGTGCAAAAGGAACAGAAGCAGTGTTTGAAGTAAAAGTGACAGAATTTCCCAAAATTAACGCCAGACACCAAACCATAGATACAGAAAGCTCAGAGAACACTGAAGAGGAAAAATGCCCAAGACTACTCTTAAGTGTAATGAAGTATATTCAAACTGCAAAAAATCTAGCTCAGTGCCTATGGCTCAAGTGGCTAAGGCATCAGCCACATACACCTAAGGTGGCAGGTTAGGATCCAGCCAGGGCCCACCAAACAACAATGTCAGCTGCAACCAAAAAACAGCTGGGCGTTGTGGCAGGCAAATGTGGTCCCAGCTACTTGGGAGGCTGAGGCAGGAGACTTGCTTGAGCCCAAGAGTTGGAGGTTGCTGTGAGCTATGATGCCACAGCACTCTACCCGGGGGGACAGCTTTAGGCTCTGTCTCAAAAAAAAAAAAAACTGCAAAAAATCAAAAATAAAGAAAAAATCTTGAAAGAACCCAGAGGAAAAAAATACCTTAACTCTAGAGGATTAAAGATAAGAATTACATGTACTTTTTCTCAAAAACCATGCAAGAGTAAATTAAAATACAGCAGAACCTCTGTAAGTTGATCACTCAGGAACTATAACTGGTCAATACACGAAGTGGTCAACATGAGGAACTAGGCTTGCTGCACTGATCACATACATGTGGTGCATGTCCTGTCTTTGAAAATTTTATCAACTTAAGGAGGTGGTCAATGTGGGGCGGTGGTCAACTATGGAGGTTCTACTGTATTTAAAGTGTTAAAGGAAAAAAAAAAAAGCCACCAGCCTAGAATTCTACCCTCTACAAAAGTACCCTTCAAAAATGAGAAATGAAGATGCTCTCAGGGCCCAGGCACGGTGGCTCACACCTGTAATCCTAACACTTTAGGAAGCCGAGGCAGGGGGAGCACTTGAACTCAGGAGTTTTGAGACAGCTTGAGCAAGAACAAGACCTCATCTCTACTAAATAAATACATGCCTGTAATCCCAGCTACTTGGGAGACTGAGGCAGGAGGATCACTTGAGCCCAGAAATTCTGAGATTACAAGCATGAGACACATCAGGCCTGCCTTATGGTTTTAATTAAACATTTCTCTCCTTTTTATAGCACATTAATTATTCTTTTTCCTTTTTTTAGTGATTGTTCTAGAGTTTTCAATATACCCTTCTAACTAATCCAAGTCCATTTTCAAATAATACTATATCACTTCACAAGTAGTCCAAGTACAGTGTAATCGCAAAATATTCCCAGTTTTTTAATAAAAAAAAAAAAATGTATTCCCAGTTTCTTCCTCCTACCTCTTATATCATTATTGTCATTCACTTCACTTTTTTTTTTTTTTTTTTAAGAGACAGTCTCTGGCTCGGCGCCTGTGGCTCAAGCGGCTAAGGCGCCAGCCACATACACCTAAGGTGGCAGGTTTGAATCCCCAGCCCGGGCCTGCCAAACAACAATGACGGCTGCAACCAAAAAAGGGCCAGGCGTTGTGGCAGGCGCCTGTAGTCCCAGCTACTTGGGAGGCTGAGGCAGGAGACTCACTTGAGCCCAGGAGTTGGAGGTTGCTGTGAGCTGTGATGCCATGGCACTCTACCCAGGGGGATAGCTTGAGGCTCCGTCTCAAAAAAAAAAAAAAGAGAGACAGAGTCTCACTTTGTTGCCCTCAGTATGGCATCACAGCTCACAGCAACCTCCAACTCCTGGGCTTAGACGATTCTCTTGCCTCAGCCTCCTGAGTAGCTGGGACCACAGGTGCCTGCCACAACACCTGGCTATTTTTTGTTGCAGCTTGGCCAGGGCCGGGTTTGAACCCACCACCCTCGGTATAAGGGGCTGGGGCCCTACTCACTGAGCCACAGGTGCCACCCCACTTCACTTTTTTTTTAAAAAAGAAAGTCTGGAATTAATCACCTAAGCGTCCACGTTAGGAAAGTAGGGAAAAAAAGAGCCTATAAAATTCAAAGACAGTAGAGAAAAAAATAATAAAAATAAGAGCATAAGTGAATGAAATTGAGAACATGAATCAATAGAAAAAAAAAAATCAACAAAACCAAAGCTGTTTCTTTGAAAAGATAAACAAAATCGGTAAGCTTTTAGCCACGCTAAGAAAAAAAAGAGAGAAAACACACAGTACTAATGTCAGAAAAGAAAGAGAGGGACATCATTAAAAATCCCTTGGACATTAAAAGGACCAATGCCTTGAAAAACACAATCACTGCCAAAACTGATGCAAGAAAATAGACAATTTAGGCCTACATCTATCAATGAAGTTGAATCAATAACTAATAATCTTTCAAAGATAACCAGGCACAGATGAGTTCACTGAAGAATTCTACCAAACATGTAAGAAAGAAATTACATCAATTCTCCACAATATTCTCCCTAAAAAGGGAATATTTCCTAACTCATTCTAAGGGGCGAGCATTACCTTACTACCTAAAACAAAGACATGAGAACAAAAGAAAATTATAGTCCAGTATCTGTCATGAATACAGATACAAAATCCCCAACAAAATAGTAAAAATCCAATCCAATAATGTATAAAAAAATGTATATACCACAACCAACTATGATTTATCTCAAGTATGCAAGGCTGGTCCACCATAAATACTAATCATGCTCCTTGGTATTTACCCAACTTAATTAGAAACTATGCCCCCACGAAAACCTACCCAAGGCTCGGCGCCTATGGTCAAGTGGCTAAGGCACCAGCCACATACACCTAAGGTGGCGGGTTCGAATCCAGCCTGGGGGCTGCCAAACAACAATGATGGCTGCAACCAAAAAAAATAGCCAGGCTTTGTGGCGGGCACCTGTGGTCCTAGCTACTTGGGAGGCAGAGGCAGAAGACTTGCTTGAGCCCAGGAGTTGGAGGTTGCTGTGAGCTATGATGCCACAGCACTCTATCCAGAGGGACAGCTTGAGGTTCTGTCTCAAAAAAAAAAAAACAAAACCTACCCAAAAGTGTTTCTAGCAGCCTTACTCACTACTACTAAAACTTGGAAGCAAAGAAAACAAACTATGGTATATCCAGACAATGGAATGTTATTCAGCACTAAAAAGAAATTAGCTATCAAGTCATGAAAAGACATGGAGATAAATTAAATGCATATTACTAAAGTGAAAGAAGACAGTCTGAAAAGTCTACACATTGTATGATTCCAACTATATGACATTCTGGAAAAAACAAAACTATATAGATAGTAAAAAAAAGAAAAAATCAGCAACTGCCATGACTTTAGGAGAGAAAGGGATGAACAGGAAGAACACAGCAAAGAAACTATTCTGTATAACACTATAATGGTGGATACACATCATTATACATTTGTCCAAAGCCACAGAACATACAATACGAAGAGTGAGCCCTAAAGTGAACTATGGACTTCAGATGATAATGATGTGTTGATGTAGGTTCAGTGATTGTAACAAACATAACACTGTGATGTATTTGGGCATGTGTCATGAAGATTGTGCCCCTCTGGGGAAAGAAGCTACAAGGAAACTGTACTTTCTCTTCAACTTTGCAGTGAACCTAAAACTGCTATAAAAAAATAAACATTGGGGGAGAGAGCAAGATGGCGGCCAAGTAACAGCTTCTTCACAACCAGACGTGGTGAGACTGGGGAGAGAAGACTCCAGGCATCTCTGGCTTGTGGGATCTTCCCAGAAACATCCCTTTGGGGACACAGGGAGACAGCAAGAGACTTCTGGACCCCAGGAGGAGGACAAAAGCAGTGGAGAACTGGCA